TTTTTTTTTTTTTTTTTTTTCACCCTTCCTCGTTTATCCCTTCGTCGCGCTTCCACGAAGAAGAGGAAGAAGAAGAAGTCTAGTTTTCAAAGGATCGCTCCTTTTTCTTTTTCCTTAATTTCGCGAAAGTGATGGAATCGGGCCGAGAGTTTGATCGTCTCCTCGATCTCTTCGATCTTTAAATATTCTCGCGTATCGAGAAAGTGCGAGTAAAAGACAGAGAGGAAAAAGAGTATAAAAAATTCTCTCTCTCTCTCTCTATATATATATATATATATCTTAAATTTTTAAATATTTAAAATTTCATCGATCTATCTCATCATTCGATCTCATCTTGATCGATTCATCATTTCATCGAATCGTTCGTTTTCTTAAAAAAATCTGTTTCCCCTCTGAGAAAGAAAAAAAAAAAAAATCATCGACCAGAGAAGAAGAATACGAGGATCGAGAGATCGATGACGGGGGTCGAGAGTTGGAGCGCGATCGTCGATCAGTGGACGAGGAAGCGGAACGGTGAGATGATAAGGACGCTCGCACCTTGCTCGCGAGGCGAAAAGTAGGCGAAGAGGAAATCCCTGCGGAGTGGTTATCGAACGAGGGCGGACGAGATCCAGGATAGTGGCGTGTGGCACATTTGCCGTACAGAGAAAACCCGTCTCCAATGGTTTTTCTTCCTTCCATCCGCTCACTTCCACTGTTCCACGTTCTTACATAAAGGGGGATTTTGCCGACCGTCAGTTAATGAACCCGGCTGTGCGCGCGTATATACAGGGAACATCCGTCGCCGAGTTTACGTAAGTAAATATGAATAAATTTTTATCTTATCTTATGCGAGAGTGAAAGAGAGAGAGAGAGAGTAGAGTGGAGTAAAAGAGGGATAAGAATAAGAGTCGTGTTCCTCCTTGGTCCTTGGGTCTTTGCCTTTATACTTTTGCCGCGACGAGAAACGGTCCGTTTCTTGTCCACCTTCCTTCGATTCCTTGCAATTCAATTCCGTTTTTTATTTTATGCCGATTCTCTCGGTTTTTGCCGATTGGAAGGAAATGGAGGAAAGGCTTTATTTCTAACTTTTAGAGAATCTTTTGGAACGGGTTGGCTTGGAATTCTTGAAAATTTATCATTTCCAATAGATTGGAAATAAATATAATACGAATAGAGTTCGAGAGTATTATTATAAGTTATTTCCAATTTTTAAAGTAAATTGATGTAATTGATTGCAGTGACGATTGGCTTGAAATACTCTCGTAAATTCGTATGGGACACGTAGCTGTATAGTAATAGGAAAAGAAATATCGTAGAGCGTTCAGATACAAAATTTCTTTCTTAGGTTCAAGAAGCGTTTCGTTTAATTTTTGGAATGGCGATAAAGTGTTATTGCGATGAATAGGGTTCGAGTAAGTTTGATGTAATTGCAATAACGATTATTGTTAAATTATTCTTGTAAATTCGTATGGGATATGTAGCTGTACAGTAATAGAAAAAGGAACACCGTTCAGACAAAATTTCTTTCTCGAATTCGACAAGTTCGATTTTAATGTTTGGAATGGCGATAAAGAATTATTGGGATAGAAATCTAATGCTTCAACTTTTAAGTGACTTCTTCGAAAAATTTTTGGATTAGCTTTCTTCGTTTATCGGTGCAAGAACAATTAATTGCACCGATTTTATTCGAATTATTTAGTGATTATTTAAGTTAGACTTAAGAGATCATAGACTAGATTTTTTTTTATACCAATTTTTATTTATTGGAAGATATTGGTTAGAGATAAATTAAAAATTTATATCGTATTTGTAAAATCTTCTTTTTTTTGTAAATTTACCATACAACGATAATCGATCAACTTTACGTAAATCCATCAATGTGGAACTTTTCTTACCATTGTTTCACTCAGCCGAGTTTTGCCCCATTATTACACGGTACGTTGACTTGAACTACTGGAAACTTATTATTTAATATTTAGGACAAGTTCACTTGCCTCGCAACGTTGATCAGTCATTGTCAAAACGTTTAAATTTCATTATAAACATACAGTCATTGACATTAAGACATTAGCCTTGACTTCTCTTCTCAAATGCCTTACGTATGTAAAATATGTAAGATATGTTATATAATTTTTTTTAATCTTATTTTTTTCTTTTTTTCTCTATATATTAAATATATACATCTTATCGAATGTATATGATGAGAATATCGAGAAATTTTTGATAAAGATATAGAAAAATTGGAAAGAATTATTTTTACTATAAATATATCTATTATAAATACAAAAGTGCAATTTTGAATGCAATAAATGTAATTACGTGGTTCGCTCTGAACAGTGTTTCGCAAAAATATTCGCTTTCTCTTTATGAACTCAAACTTTTTTCATTATAAATATTCGCTATAATTCGGTATAAATATATTCAAAATATTCTCGGAATATTCTTTTAATTTGCTTATCTTCTTTTTAACAAGTTACAAGAATTTCGACTTTGTCAAAATTACAAGTAAACTTGAGAGGCGAATCTTTGATCACTTGTTCAAATAATAGTTAATAATATTATGTGATAATATTAACATAAGAGATTTCTAAATGTTTAATGTCCAAGCGATTCTATACTTTACTTCAAATAAATAAAAAAAATCTTTAAACCTTGTTGATTTAACATTACAACAAAGTAAATTCTTCGATTTTCTCTTTATTTTCTCGATGATATCATTTTTTTTTTGTCAAAACATGTGTCGAACGATTTTTTTATACTATAAAATAAAATCGTTAATTAATGAAAATTGGATAATTAGAATTTGATTAAAACAAGTTTATTTATTATTTTAATTCTAATTAATCAACCGATTATTATTAATTGAGCATAAAAAAAAAATCTAATAATAATTGATATTCAAAATATAATTAATAATTTCATAATGTCCATTAAGAGGAATAAAATTCAAATTGGATTAAAAAAAATTATTTACGATTATTACGATATCGTTCACATGTTGTGATACGATGAACACAAGTCAATATTAAATGTGAAGATTTTTCACGAGGAAAATTTAACTTATAAACCAGACGATGAATCTTCGAATTTGAATCTATCGCGTCTCTCTCCTCCCCCCTCTCTTCCTCGATAGTTTTTGTTCAAATCTTACAAGTCATAGTCATGATATAATCGGAGATCGTTTAAATAAAATTGTTTGCAATATTTTTTTTCTTAAGTAAAAATAGAACTTAAGTAGAATGAGAATTTTATTTAAATAATGATTCGATTCGATGATAATTAAAAAAATTAGAGAAAAGAGGACGTTTTTTCAGCGAACGTATATAACGGATCGGGATTGAGATAAATAAATTTCGAATTCGCCTCTATGGTAAATTATTATCAAAATTTATCATCAAGAAACAAGGAATAACAAGTGGGATGATTTTACAGATTTTGAAATGAGAGATTAGTGAACTTGAATATTTCGAATATTAACTAACGGCATATCGACGATTTCGATATAGTCAATTTCGATTTTTTTTTTTGTAGTTATGTAACGATTCTTTGCATAATACAAAAAAAAAAAAAATAGTTAGTCTTGTTTACGATAATAATATTGTCTAATCATTCGATAAAACCACTTTTTTTTTCTTTTTTTTTTTTTTAATTGTCTAATAAGTTACAAATGTAAAATGCAATTTGAGTATAATAATGTTTCGATCTTATCTTTTTTTTTTTTTTTTTTTAAATAAATGTTGCAAAGTGATCGAGTGTTCGTATAATCTCAGATAAAAATCTCGTGATAAATTTCTAATATCTTTTGAACGGATCTAAGGATAAAGTAAAAGCAAGATGAAAGAAAAAGGGGAGAGGGGGAGGGGGGAGAAGAAATTCTTCTCGTTCTTAAGATAAAAATAACATTATGGAAATATAAAAAAAAGATCTACGTGATGAAATTCGATGGAAGACATGGACGAAACGTACAATGTTAGTATGGCACGGATAGTTATAGTATCTCGTTTATGCATAATAATGTAAAATTATTGCGAATGCGGTTTTGTATCAAAACCACAAGCCCAAGATAAATACTTCCTGTATTCATCCTTCTTCACGCTGGCATTGTCTGGAATGCTTACCTCAAAATTTTTATCTCCTTGCTTCCTGAGATTGTGCTGTGCAACAGAGACATCATTTTCTATATAAAAAAAAAAAAAAAAAATTATCTTTATCTCTTGTTTCTCACTTCTCGAATCGAATTCATCACGCTTCGATTCGATCAAAAAAAAAAAAAATAAAAATCTTTCAAAAATTTTCAAGAAATTTTGAAATTTTTTCTTGAAATCCGATGAATATCTCCTCGAATTTCGTCCCAATCCAATCCATTTTGCAATTTGTTCGTGATAATATTAAAATTGATTTCACAATATTGAATAATTTGTAATAAAAGGAACAGTGTTGTTAAACTTTCATTTTTGAAACTACCGGCATGAACGTGTACACAGATCTTCCCATAATTGAGTAAAGAATTTACTCCCGCGAAAAGAATATCCGATTAATCACAATCTCTTAAGTACAGCAAATGAAATAATTGCCAACGTGTTAAATCAACTCGATTAATCATTATTTCAAGGTTCGGTAACTGTTAGAAATAATGAATATATATTGTAAATGAATATTTATCACGTTTCTGAAATACTCTCTCGAAATGCCTTGTTATTAATACCAATTTACAATCGTCCCCCCTCCCCCTCCCTCTCTATTTTAAATTAATACGAGCCATTTTCAAGATATTTTTTTTCTTATTTGCATCAGATTACTGCAACACAATTTACGATTTAATTGGAAGATAATAATCGATACACGATACGAATGGCGATTCCTGGCCTGAGAGAGTTTTCTATCATAGAATTATTCGAAGAGGAAAACTGTAATCTTCCAACAGAAATTGCTGGAAAGAAATGAAAGTACGATGACTTGAAATTTTGAAAAATACGTGGCAATTGTGATTTCTTTCGAAAATTTCCTTTCTAAGTTTCAAATATTTGAAGAGGGAGCTCCGATGATTCGAAATTGTGTGCGATTATTCGTGGTAAAATTAATCAAAGAAAAAAGTGCGTGGAAAAAGGGATAAAATCTTGACAAAATTTTTCGACACGTCACGATTTTTCTCGTTTTGGAAATGTCGAAAGGTTGTGAAAGCTCGATCTGTTTTAAGTTCTCGGTGCAATAAAACCGTGAAGAAAATGTGCGTCATGCTTGTTTCTATCCCTCCCCTTGTGGAGGCAAATTGGAAAGTCTGGAATCACGGTTCTCTCCTCGTGAATAGACGGCATATGAACTTTGTTTTGAGCGGCACCTCGTTCGTCCTTGCACACATTATACTTCCGCATAATTGAACGTGTACAAAATAAGATGGTCGATATCGATTCGTTTATAATTTATTTTTTTCGTTTATGATTTCTCTTACGAATTCTTTTGAAATTTTATTTTAGAGAAATTTAATTTTTTAATAACGTTTCTCATGAATATTTCAGTGAAGAATATTCTCTAAATATATTTTTAACCTATCATTGACGTATAAAATGAAATATAATATGTTGCAAGAAATATAAATGTTGTCAGGGGAAAAAATAATTGATTAATTGTACAAGCTTGAAATTCTTTTGATAAATTAAATAGAAGAAATTTACTCAATATTAGCATATTCACGAGTAATATATTAACAATTAATCTATCAAATTAATCATTTTTTATTACTTTCCTGTATTTAAACAGAGAAAAAAAATATATATATATATACTATTAAAGATATATCTATTAATATATCTAT